AGGTACAGATTTCTTAGAAGTACAATTAAGTGTTCTGAAATACTCATACTTCTCAATGTTGTCCATAGCTTGTCATGATCCACACAGATATATAGAAATGTATAATATAAATAGGTATATTTATATATCTCTATTTATAGATAGATAGATAGATGTAGTATATGTGATAATAGTGGTTATGTGCCGTGCAGTCGGTTCCGACTCATAGTGACCTTGTACAGGGTTTCCAAGGCTGTAAATCTTTACAGGAGCAGAAAGCCTCATCTTTCTCACGCGCAACAGCTGATAGTTTCAAACTGTTGTGTGTGTGTGTGTGTATATATTTGTTGTTAAGTGCCATAGAGTTGGGTTCCAACCCATAGTGACCCTGTATAGGGTTTCCTTGGAGCAGCTGGTGAATCTGAACTGCTGGTCTTCCAGTTCAAGCAGAATTTGCAGTCCAGCACATTAACCAACAGCACCACAACAGGATTCCAGTATAGTTTACCTTTTTATTTTTTAATGTTTTACGCAAAACATTAAACATTTTTTTCCCTCTGTAAAACATTAAGAAAAAACCAAAAACAACTTTCAGATACACAAAAGCATCTTTAACAAAATAATGCAATAATAATAATGTGCATTACAACGTAGTGCACATTTGTTATTATGAACAATTGCATGTAACTCAAAATTCTAGTATTATCATGTTTACAGAGGTTAGGACCACAATCCTATATTACCCAAATGAATATTATCTAATACATGAACATTATATAATACTCTAATTCTTTTTCATTTCCCTCCTTATTTCTAGTGTACCACCTGGACATGAAGGCCTGAAAGAACAGGCCCTCTGCAACAAGATAATGGCTACAATACTAGAAAATTATCATATACTGTTTGAAGTAGACTGCACAGAAAATGACAACCACAGGGCTGAAAACCTGCATAGGCTTATCATTGTAAAAGTAAGTAGCTTTGGTGTTTAATTGTTAATATTGTTATAATCTGGAATAAAAGATTTTCCTTTAATCATTTTTTTTTTTTTTGTCATTAAAAAGTCCATGTGGGTATAATTTTAGATTTTGATGGCTCTGTATGTTGAATTCTTTTCATGAAACGTATCTCTATCAAGTATTTATTTAATGGATCTATATCCTCTTAAGGTTGTAAGATGAAGTGATTTTGTATTTATTTGCTACAGTCAAACACACGTCAGTTCTGTGCTCTGGCCACGGGACTACTCTCCCACTTCAATAGAGACCTATTGTTATAGCAGAGATACTGTGTGTGTGGCTGAAATCAGGACTGGTACCTTACCAACATGATTGCAAACTCCTGAAAATAATATTACTGTAAATCTTTTTGCCTCTCTTGTGGCTGGCACATTTTCAATCTCCCCCTCAGGCTTTAAGTGGCATACATGTAGTCTTTGGGGACCATCATTAGCAAAGCAGAGTCTGTTAAACACATGTAAGGAAGACCTTGACAATACTATTTAAGTATTCATTCTATGTTTAATGATAATTTATAACATATCCCTTTACACTTTAGGAAAATTCATGTAGGTCTCTCAAAACCTACCATTGAGAATCAGAGGCTAAAACATCCAAATGAAATCCTTGAGATGTGAGAAAAGAGAGAAGGCATATTATTTCCTTTTCCTTTATATGGAGGCAAATTTGATGGAGCTGATATGAGAAGTTTCCTCAAGAGGTTTCCTGAGACTTATCAAATGTACAGACCTAAGTGTACTCTTAGTGATTCGTATGCTGATGAATGATAAAACCAGAAACACTTGGTTTGGGCATTTCAGAGGTGTTTCATCTCTTCCAGTTGAGGCCATGACTTTGAAAAAGGTAATGGGTATCAAGTAGCATCCTATGAAAACAGCAAAAGAAGATCAAAACTAGATTTCTGTTAATACAACAGACTCATTATAAGGGATACAGTACATTTCTTGATAACTGAGAAGAATGCATTTAGTAGGATTCTTGCCAACCAGATGAAATGAGCTTTAAACTGATATTTGAGGTAAGGGGAGAACAATGCTCAGATAAAATGATAAAATGAGATACTTTGGAGAAAAACAAGCATAGCTTGGGATAAGGGTAGCATGATAGTGAAGAAAATGTGTCAGTAGTTAACAAGAGAAAATAACAAGAAAATATTTACTTCATTTTTGTTGCAAAGCAGTTATTTTTTAATAGAAAAGCAATCTCCAGTACGTTTTACCCTTCTGGTTCCTTTGCAAAGATCTCTTTTTTAAAATCCTTTTAAATTTCTATCTTAAGAATATTAAGAGATTATTGACTTTCTTTTTAGAACTCATGCCTTTTTTACTAGGTCTGATAATATAACAGATAAGCCAGAAATATAATGGAAATAGGTAAATATGATCTCATACCCAGGATAGTCTTGTTGACATAGAGCTATTTACTGGAATACAGCAATGGGTGGTTATATGTTATGCAAATAAAATATCCCTGCTATGAGATATGTAAGAGTAGCCTGCTTTTAATCACCTCATATGCGTGTAAAAGTTGGGCAGTGAATAAGAAGGATCTTAGAAGAATCAATGTATCTGAATTACTGTGTTGTAGAAGAATATTGAAAGTACAATGGACTTCCAGAAATATAAACAAATCTGTTTTGGAAGTTAGGATGGTGAGACATCATCTCTAGTACTTTGGACATGTTGTCAAGACGAATCAATCCCTGGAGAAGGACATTATGATTGGCAAAGTGGAGGGTCAGCAAAAAAGAGAAAGGCCCCCAAAGAGAAGGATTGACACAGTGGCAGCAGCAATGTGCTCAAACATAGGCACTCTTGTGGGGGTGCCGCAGGACCAGGCTGTGTTTCATTCTGTCATGCATAAGGTCACTATGAGTCAGAACCAACTCAAGAGCACCCAACAACAACTACACCCTGCTTTGACTTCCATGAGCTGCAATTTAAGCTTGGTGGAGAACATGGCATGAAAGTACAAGATAAGACACAAAACTGATAATATTGTGGGAGCCAGATACAGATATGTCGGTTGGAAGAAAAATATGACTGGTTTTTTCCTAAGGCAAGGTTGAGATCTGACTCTAGCGGCAGATGTACAACATGATTGGAAAGTACATGACTGCATTCTGGAAGCGTCTTCTGCTAAAGCAGAATATCTGATGCACTGTGTTACTGACCTTACTGAGAGATTCTGTCTCTAAGAAAGTAGGAAATGCAATGAAGGAATGTGATTCTCTGGACTGAATTGTAATCAACAACAGTAAATGAAACTTCTGAAAGTTTTGGTAGACAGAATATGCAAATGCTCATTTAGAACTCATTGTAACGAAAGAACATACTAGCCACAGCTGGGTAAATGGTTGTGGTTAAGTGCTGTTGAGTCAGTTCCAATCCATAGTGATCCTGTATAGGGTTTCTGAGAAGCAACTGGTGAATTTGAACTGCCAACCTTGCAGTTCAAATGGCTTTGCAGTCTGGTGCATTAACCCACAGCGCCACACCAGGACTCCAGCTAGGTAAATAATCCTAGCCAATTTTTAGAAAGTAGATTTTTTTATTCCAAAGATCTGAAAGACCTTGTTGTTACTGTTAAGTGTTATCAAATTGGTCCCAACCCTTAGCAACCCTTAGGTTTCCAAGGAGCAACTGGTGAGCTTGAACCACCAACTGTGCAGCTCAAACGACTTTGCAGTCAAGTTAATGCACATTAACCCACAGCACCACACCAGGACCTTAGCTATACCTAAGGAATTGAGAGTCTCAATGAAATCACTAATTTACCTAAAAAGAAGAAAAATGGAGCACAACTTAAAAAAAAAAAAAGTTATATTTCTGTTAATTCTTTTATATGAGTGAAGCTTTTAGAGGTCATATATGAAAGGAGGAAACAGGGCCACAAAACAACTGAAAAATACACAAGAATAACAGATTTATAAAATGTTTGAGCCAAGAATAAGCTGGAACCTCTGGCAACTTCTGAGATTGAAAAAAGGGCCTAATTTTAACGGGATAAAGTGTAGCACTGTGGGTTAAGGCACTGGGCTGCAAGGTCAGCTTGAACCGCAAGGTCAGTGGGGTTGCTATGAATCAGAACCAAATCAATGACACTTAATCACAGCAAAGTAGCTCCATACAATAAGCACTGGGCTACGAACCATAATGTCAGCAGTTCTAGCCCACCGGCTCTGTGGGGGCAAGGACTTTCTGCTTCTGCAAACTTTTGAAGCTTTGGAAGCCCTGTGCTAGGTCGCTAGGAGTTGGTGCCAACTCAATGGTACTGAACAACACACTAGACATATCTACATTTACACTTCTGTTTATCCCAATATAAGAAATAATATACATTGTTTAGTGAAGGTTCTCATGAGATCTTTGTAGATTAGATGGAAGTTTGGGGTCCGCAACATGCAAGTTTGGTTGTACTGGCACCGAGATGAAATATGTTGACCAATTCAGAAGCCATCAGCAGTATGGTAACTGAAAATAAAAGGCAGTCCCCCAGGCAAACACAAAGTTAGTGGTGCGGCACTGTAGGATAAGCACTGGACCACAAGGTCTATTTGAACTGTAAAGTTGGCAGCTCAAACTCATCAGCTGCTCCTCCGAAACAGGGTCACTATGAATCTGAACCTACTCAAAGATGCAACTTAACAATAATAGTCTCATTTTAGAGTGAGTTGTGTTTGTTAAGCCAATGAGACAGCCTAGTGTAGGGTGTATTTTGAGTCAGTCTCTTAAAAAAATATAAAAGGAGCGGATTGAGAAAGAGAGTTCTACACAGAAGAGACAAGAATCTTCCTCTGGAGACTGGAGCGAGGGGAAGCTTTCCCCTAGAGCCAGCACCCTAAATTTGGTCTTCTAGCCTCCTGAGAAGATAAATTTATTAAAGCCACTCACGTATGGCATGTCTGTTATATCAGCACTGGATACCTCAGGGCACACTGTTATGCACTGAATTGTGTCCCCTGTAGAAAATATGTGTTATAAATCCTAATTTATATGCCTGTGATTGTAATCCCATTTGGGAATGGGTTGTATTTGGTATATTAATGAGACAGGATTGGTGTAGGGTATTTCAAGCCAATATTTTAAGAAATAAGAAAAATTAAACAAGGAGCTCTGGTAGCGTAGTGGTTACGAATCGGGCTGCGAACCTTAAGGTCAGTGGTTCGAAACTACCAGCCGCTCCGTGGGAGAAAGATGAGGCTTTCTACTCCCGTAAGGATTTACACCCTCGGAAACCCTGTACAGGGTCGCTATGGGTCGGAACCAACTCGACGGTACTTAACAACAACAACAACAAACAAGCAAGGAAAGAAGCAGAGATAGGGTAAGAGAGATGGCAAGCCATAGGAAGATCACCGAGGAACAGAGAGACAAGGGCCATTTTCCAGAGCTGACTGAACTAGCATCCTGAATTTGGACTGCTATCCTCCTAAACTGTAAGGAAATAAATTCCCCTTTGCTGAAACCATTCATTTTTGGTATTTCTATTACAATAGCAGTCGCTAACTTCTCACCAGTGATAAAACAGTGTTTTTAAAACAACAAACTTGATCACAACATGACCCTGCTTTAGGCAAACAAACATACAAACTTTTATTGCTGTTTGGGGTCCCATTCACTTACTTTATAGAAAGCATAACATTAAGACTTTTTTTAAAAAACTTTTTATTGTGAATTGAGTGATTGTTTACAGAGAACGTCAGCAGTTTCACATTCAAAAAATTGTTTACTTGGTTTTATCTCAATAATTGCAATCCTCTCCATGCAACGATCCCTGTGGTCATTTCGTTCTATTGTACGTAGGTCACTATGAATGTGATGCCATTCCTCTTCAATTTGTCATTCCCAGCCTTTGATTTCTTGTCAGATTCAAAGTGTCAATGCCAGTTCATTTCAGCTCACCTAGGCCTAGGATATCGATGTTTCTGCGTTCCATTTAATTTTTGACAA